TGGCAAAATTTCTCTCATAGCACACTGTATGGCGTATGCCCGTCTTCATTAGCCCAGTTTAGGAGCAGAACAGTAGGACGTTAAACCCCATTTCATTTCTGAGTCTATTTTGAAATCCTTGCCTACCATTTTAGACCGAAATGCTTCTTGATTTAAGATCCCACGCACACATTGATGTGCATGCAAAAGGTCCTTGGTAGTTGGAATCCGATATAAGAGTAGGCTGTAGTGCTGCTGTCTTTTCAAAATTTCCCTCATAGCACACTGTATGGCATATGCTTGTCTTCATTAGCCCAGTCAGAGCAGAATATTTCATTTTAATATTCTAATTCACTCCAGATTGTTTTAGATAACATGTACCTAATAATACGGTAAGACAGGTATTATTTAATCTTGTGTATCTATCACTAATTTCTTTCACATTCATTTGATATCAAATCTTTGTTTAAAAATTCGTAAAAATCGTTAAAAACCTCCCAGTATCATCTTATCTGTGATAATTCTCTCGCCTGTAACACGAACACCTCTCACCTGTAGGTTATAACAGTACTGTAAGGTAAGCTACCTGTAATATCCTGTTTGCACTTGCGTTGAATATTGGCCTGATTTCTTTGTATTTAGGGGTACACAGTATAATAGATCTACTGTAAACATGTAGAAATTTGATTGAAGCTTGTCTATTACATATTTCTATAGCGAGTGACATCCTAATACGCACATTTCTTTCTATTAAACATACATTATGCAAGAGCTAAATCTCCCTATTGCAGATCTTTCTATAGGCCTGAAATGTTATCTAAATTATTAATTAGACATTAATCAACTTATCCAGACCATAATCAACTCTCGATGGCATCGCTAGCCTGCAATTTTTACTGGATTAGAACCTGATCTGCTGCTTCTGATTAAATCAAAAAATGGATAATCGAGACTATGATTTTTATCGTACCAACCTTAGTAATGGTGATCGAGGCTGGGCCCAAAATTCAATCGCTAAATCCTTGGATCAGTGTGGATCAATTTGACTAAAATTTTCAGCAAATCCCCTTTACATTATCTAGTTTTTAACTATTATAGTGAGAACTGCCAGCTCTTTATCTTAATCTCCCATAATGTATCTTTAACTAAAAGTAGAATAGCATCTTACTTTTCTGCACGAACTGGGTTAATGAAGATGTCATGAAGGGTAATTCTGTCTGGATGCAGCAGTGTTTCCAACTAGCCTTCATCAAATTTAAACTGCCAAGGATTCTTTTACATGCGCTCCAACCTTTGGGGGAGGGATATACTACTAGTAGTAAGTTATTTGATCAATCAGTCACATTACATGCTTCACAGACTAAAAATTGAGTTCAGTGTCTCCTCAAAAAAGGAAGCCACAGGGGCTAAGTGGGTAAGATGCTAAGTGGGTAAGACGCTGGCTCTCTAGCCTGGAGGTCGCATGTTCGATCTCTGCATTGACCTCGAAAGTTCATTGCGATTTTCCGATGTGTTTTCCCCATGTCAGTGGTGCAGGACGGGGAGGGCCTGATGAAGACAGTTGTCTAGTCGTTCGGATGGGACAAAAAACCGAGGACACATGTATACATTGGTGTGCACGTAAAAGATCCCTTGGCAGTTGGAATTCAATATAAGAGTAGGCCAGAGTGCCATTGCCCGGGCAAAATTTTCCCTTATACTGTTATAGCACACACTGTATGGCATATGCCCGTCTTCATTAGCCCAGTTGGAGCAGAACAGTAGGACGTAAAACCATATTTAATTTCATTTCATCTCAACACAATATTTTGGTCATTCTGATACTAACAAATATGTACAGTAGGCTCAATTATCAAGTACACAAACCTGATAAATGTTATTGACAATTAAATGATACTGGATAATCATACAATCAACAATGTAATGATTGAAACAGGATGTTTATGAGAAGTCATTTAGCCCAGTAGTGATACTTTGACAAAATAAAATAAACAAAATAAAAACACTCCCACGTCTAATTTTTCGAGAGCATTTTCTGAAGGGGGGATGCCTGTTGTATCATAAGATCTGTCATTGAGTCAGCTGGCATGGTTTTGATTCCCCGGTTGTACTTGACAAGTAGTAGGGTCGCGTGTCCAACCTTGTAGGTTTTCTTCATGTTCTCCAGTTTCCTCCCACTGCTAAAGCTAAAGACCCCTACGTGCAAGCAAATTATTGAAATAAAATTGAACCGTATGTTATTCCTGAAATGACCTAGTTTGTGTCACATGGAGTATAAACGCTCGCCCTCTCTCTCTCTCTCTCTCTCTCTCTGATGAGCTGTTACATCATATTTTAATAGGATTACAGTAGATGTACATGTACATGTATCTCACTGTTGTATTTATGTATTGTAACTACTGATTTTCTTGGAAAGTTGAGTTAAAATCTTTCAAAGAATACCACCTACTTGACTTAACTATCTATTGTATGAAAGATATTTCTTCAAGCTAGCTGTAACAGGCCTTTAAACTTTTTCTTGGTAACTTTATATGAAAAGTTGGATTAAACTGTGAAATCGTGCAGAAAATAATACTTATATATATAAAGTGGCGATATGGATTTATGTATAGCTAAAACTTCTGAAAAAATTTGGATTCTTTTATAAATAAAAATCATGTTTACGTGTGTCTGTTTCTCCAAAGCCGGAAAGTTTTTGTTTTCGAGACCACCACACAGAAGAGAAATTTAAAAATTAAGTTGCATAATTGACGAAACTAGTCGTTTAGTTAAATTTCAAAGGAGTTTAAATGATAGTTAAAGATGTCTGCATGGATGACTCTAAAAGGAGTTGGTGATTTTGATCGAAAGATAAGAGGAAATTGTTGTCATTGTGGTGGAAAAAACCACGAATCTTATGAATGTTTTCACAAATTTAAGAAGTGTCGAATTTGCAAGAGAAAGGGACATATTGAAAGAGTTTGCAGGAGGAAGATGAAAAGTTCACACTTTTACCAAGGTCCTGGCTATCCTTACTCAAGAATGGAATATATTTATAGAGGGTCAGTTCAGTAAAGTTTCTATTGATTGGAAATATATTCTTTGAATGGCATTTAGATGTAGAACAATCTGATTAAAACACAGATCCTATTTCGTTACGTTTTTTTATAGTTCAAAATTTCGTTTTACTTGTCTTTACTACACTAGGATCTGGAAGAGTTGATATAACCTGCATTCTGGATTGTGTGAGGGATTAGCCAATGAAACCATCTGTTACGGCAACTTCTTGGCATGTGATGCATGGAACTGTGGGTAAACCACTAGAAACATTAACGCTGATTGATTAATCAATGTCAGACGTACAGTAGTAGGGTCAAAAGCCGCTCGTATGACCTCTGACGTGACCTCCAATACAACTGGTCAGATCTTCATGTGGTGTAGGCGATCGAAAGTATAAAAAACTGAAACGAAATATAGATGTGTATTTATATCAGATTGTTGTTATTCCATAAATAGTGTGTTATTTGATGATTGAAAATATATATAATTACATCGGGACTATAGAATAAGGTAGTACAGATACAATTATTCTCCCAGGCCTTTCGGAGGTACATGTAGTAGGGGACTATTAAAATTGGTCTGTTCATCTGTCACAGTTTTCGGAACATAATAACTCTGCTTTTAATTAAGGTAGAAAGTTCAAACTTGGTAGAAATGTTAATTAGGTAAATATCTTTACTGTTATGTTTGATGAAAAGCATTTTACGCCGAGGCTAAGCAGAGAGATGCACTTTTGTTGGTCGATCCTTTTGAATAAGTGTGAAACGTGGTGAATATTTTCATCACATCAGCAGTCCTTCATGTTTATGAAATCGTGTTGGTTAATTTGATATCATATTCATGGAGGGTGGAGCACGGCGATGAAAGCGTCCCTCCCCCCCCCCCCCACCTCCCCCGAGACACAAATCTGATTTCCTAAAACATTCACGCGGTGATGGAGGTTAATTTGATACCACACAATGTGGGGGTGAAACGCGGCAACGAAGCGTGATGGGCGAACACACACACACATACAAACATGTTGGTTTTACATGTATTAAAGATCAAGCCATCGCTAATTCAAACATCCATCCAGTTAGATTGATTTGACCCAAATCAAACCGATCATGTTCAGTTAATTAAAGACGTATTCTTTTGTTAAACTTGATTAAAGGGGAATATATATAAGATATAGATAAAGGGTTGACAGTTCTCGTTATAATAGTTAAAAAAAAAAAAAAATAGATAACGAAAACAGAATATGCTGAAGATTTCTGTCAAATTGCTTCACTTTGAACCAAGATATTAGCAATTCCATACTAGGCTACTATGGCTAGCCTCGATCGCCATTACAAACGTTCGTATGATAATAAATAAAGTTTGAGTTCAATGGCATGGTATCGATTCCCCTGTTGTAGTTGACAAGGAGTAGGGTTGCCTCTCCAACCTCGTTGATTTTTCTCCGGGTCTTCCGGTTTCCTCTCTTTCTTTCTCTCTTTCCCCACAAAAAAAATTTTGTGGGCATCTAACAAGAGTTGATTATGGTCTGGATAAGTTAATTTTATTAATGTCTAATTAATAATTGATATAACATTTACAGAAAAATGTTTATACCCCCAGTTTACAACATCAAGCTACAGACAATAGTATTTAGTTTTATAGATTAAATTTAACAAACCAATTAAATATAACCTTTTAAAACCAGACTCTTGTAAATTAGACAGTAAAATTAGCTGTATCCTTGTCTTTATTTTCTCAAGTTTTTCCAATATATTCTTCTGAAAAAGCTTTGAAAAAAAGATGGGCAGATTGCCAGAAAGATGGGCAACTTAGAATGTCAGTTGTCTAAGTGGAAGTATGTTTCAACTATTGACAATGTAGTATAAAGCTAGTGCATGCTCTAGACTTTTCCTACAACACACTAAACAAATGTTACACCATTATTGATTGGCTGGCGGTCGTTGTGACATCACAGTCAATTTATGAATGAATTCTGATTGTAGAATTCTAGACGCGCGTGTGTATATGGTGGGTTTGTATGACGTACAACTATTTATCTCGATGTAGACTTTCGGCATGTTTTTCCCGATAAACCAAACTAACTTGAGGGTTGATTGAGGAAGGGATAGAGAGATGCGATCGCCATTGAGGAGAATTATTGATTGATGTAGGTGGTTTGAGGAACAAGATTAACTCCATGATAACGCCAGCTAGTCCGGATGTTTTCTCTCGGTGTTGACCGGGGATATTCAAGTGAGATAATGGAATAGAGTGATGATGATGATTTAAGTCAGTCGTAATAAATCGTGTAAGCGTATTGCTTAGTTCTGTTTGGCAGGACATGCAAACTGCGCAACGAAATACAGACAGAACAAAACCAAGTTAGTTGCAGATTTTGGAAATCTTGTGGATTGGCGTTAAATGACAATAATTTTTCTTGGTTATCAACAAATGCAGGAATATTTGTAGAAATCTCTTTCGGGTTGTTTTTAGATCTGAGACGTCACCAGTTTGATGTGATTGTAGTAAATTTTCTTTTTGATTATTAAATGAGCTCAGATTATTTAAGAAAGTGATTTTGACATTTTTGATTCGATAATGTGTTTATATACCAGTTGATGTCGTCACCAGTTAGAGAATTATAATGGTTGTGCTCAGGTAGGAATTTGATATTATTATATGCATTACATGTAGTTATGTGTATTTTCTGACATTCATAAAGGGATGATTTGAAAAGGTGCGTTTTCCTATCTTTCTGATTTGAAGCTGCTATCTGAATTTTGATTGAATCATCAATGACTGAAGTTCTTTTAGAACTCTGGGGGGTTGGATGGTCGAATGGTTAGCACGTGACGCCATATCATGAAGTCTGTCATTGAGTCAACTGGCGTGGTTTCGATTCCCCGGTTGTATGTGACAGGGAGTAGGGTTGCCTGTCCAAGCTTGTGGGTTTTTCTCCGGGTCCTCTGGTTTCCTCCCACTGCTAAAGACTCCTACGCGCAAGCGAATTATTGAAATAAAATTGAACCATGTTAGTTAATGACCTAGATTGTGTTGTTCTGAATGTTAACCCCCCCTCTGTCTTCTCTATTAAAACTATCCATCAAATGAAATGGTATATTGTCCTTATTTTGTTGTCAAGTAAATTAGATATTTGCAGTTTTATTACTGACCTCCCGTAATTGTTAATACACCATTAATGTGTTTTATTTCCTGTTAGAGAGAGAATACTTTAAAACTATCATGTTAAATGAGTTTACCATGATATATTATTATAATAAATATCACAGTCTATCCTTGAATCAAATGTAATATATATCTACAAATAGCGTGATTATTATACTTTAGTCTAGAACGTAACGCTGATTTACGAGCTAGAGACCATTATAGCATTAACCAACTTACGAAGCTTGTTGGATGAAATAAATATATTCCAGGTATATTTATTAATGTGATTCGGGTAAAAATTGAAATAACTTCCTGGTTATAAAGTAATAAATAATTAAAGATGCATTTCCACGGAATTATTTATTGGGTAGTAATTTCATATTTTGATATATACACCCAATCTTACTAGTAAAATACGGGATTCCCTGAAAAACACCTGCTCAAGACAAAAATGTATGTTTATCCTATAAACGTGGGACGAAAAACCGAGGTCCTGTGTACACATTGGCGTGCACGTAAAAGATCCCTTGACAGTTGGAATTTGATATAAGAGTAGGCCATAGTGCCGCTGCCCAGGCGAAATTTCCCTCATAAGCACACTGTATATGGCATATGCCCTTCTTTGTTAGCCCAGTTGGAACAGAACAGTAGGACGTTAAACCCCATTATGATTTCATTTCATATAAACGTGCTTGAGTTATGATGGCTAACATTTGTGAAAACATAGAGAATTAAACATCCATAGAGAATTAAACAGCAGGAAAAGAAGTTGGCACCGGATCACCAAATTAAGGAAGGAGAGGTTTTAGTCGCCAGATAAATATGTAGAAAATGAGTTAAATTATTGAAATCGCATGGTGAATGTTTAAGGACCTTTCACCATGTAAAGAAATTTTAATCTTTTAAAATGTCAAGATGAATAATAGATCAGGCTTGTAGCGAACATCTGGGGTCCCTCAGGTTCCCTAGCTTTCTACAGTAACATAAAAACAAAATCTGGAGTCCCTCAGGTTCCCTAGCTCTCTACAGTAACATAAAAACAAAATCTGAGTCATAATGTTGAGATGAATATTAGCTATTGTAAATGAAATACATTTCCAAGCCTACAAATAAGGTCACCTGTCGCAGGTATTGTCAGACACAAATTAAAGACTTCATCAGTCATATTGCCTTTACTGTCCGTCGGCCAAAAGTTTGTCATTGATTGTTTGGTTCTAGATTTTTTTAATACACGTCCGTTAAGCCTAACGCAGACGATGGGACATTTATATCGACGAACAAAAACACTAAAATTGAACAAATGTTTTTGTTATCCGCAGATGAAGAAGCCTATTGAATTTCAACGATTTCCGATAATTAATGCCAAATTTATGGCCCTTGATCACAAGCAGTAACAACAAATCATGACAATAACATGACCGACCTGCTTGTCTATATATAATTGCCGTAATGCCCGTACACATTTGTTACTGTACTTACTGTTACTTTGCCTGCTTGAAATGTCATCTAAATAAATCCATAATTGTTCTTCCATAAGTATGTGTTATAGATTATTGCTCTTTCTAGTTACTAAACGCCTGTAAAAGATTACATGCACCTTGATATGTAATGAGTGTTATAGTTTATTGCTCTATCCAGTTATTAGATTACATGTACCTTGATAAATAATGGCCGCCTACCATCAGTATTGAATAATTGATGTGTTTTGTTTTTTTTGTCGATTGAATCATCTTCTTTCTTTATGTCACTGATGACGCTGTTTATAACATGTATCGTAAATATAGCTGAGTTGAGATTGAGAGCTAGAGTAGGATGACTAATACATAACAAACACAGCTACCATTTTATTAATTTATATATGTGAGTGACATAGAGGAGAAAAGCTAAATGCCATTCAGGTATGATTTTAATTGTAGTCGCATCAAATGCTTATTTTACTTCTCGAATATTCTAAGTCATTATTTTTATGCTATTCAAATAATCAATTCAACCCATTACTGAAATCCGATCTTGCATGCACTGCATAGGAATTCTTCCACCCATCATCTGTCACTGTAACCCGACTATCATTTAATCTTGTGTATCTAGCACTAATTTCTTTCACATTCCTTTAATATCAAATCTTTGTTTAAAAATTCATAAAAATCATTTAAATCACATGAAACCTTCTAATTTGTACTTGTGTCCAATTTAAAGCTGACTGATTAATTTTGGTAATGAGTGTCCAATTTACAAGTGTTTAATTTCTCGTTCACTGTTCAAAAATTAATTATGCATCAATAATCAATTGAGTTGTTTATTTTTTAACAGTGATCGAGAAATTAAACGCTTGTTTATTGGACACTCATTATCAAAATTGAATGGTCAGCTTTAAACTGGACACGAGTACAAATTAGATTATTTTTAGTGATTTTAAACAATTTTTAGGAATTTTTAAATAAAGATTTGATATTGAATGAATTTAAAGAAATTAGTGCGTACACAAGATTAAATAATACCCAGGATACAGTGTGTACTGTTAGTAAGTAAGGAGTTAATTTGTCACAGTCTTGGATTTTATTTGATTCGTCTGAACTGAGAGGTTAACAATAGAGCAGAAAAGTAGGATGGTAAACCCCATTTTATTTTATTTCATTTCATAATAATAGGAGGATTGAGTAGCTGAATGGTCTAACGTGTCCGGGGGGGGGGGGGGGGGGATGGCTGAATGGTTAGCATGTGCAACTGTACCATAAAGTCTGTCATTGAGTCAACTGGTGTGGTTTCGAATCCCCAGTTGTAGGTGACAAGGAGTAGGGTCGCCTGTCCAACCTCGTGGGTTTTCTCCGGGTCCTCCGGTTTCCTCCCACTGCTAAAGACCCCTATGTGCGAGCAAATTAAACCATATGTTAGTCCTGAAATTTCTCTCTCTCTCTCTCTCTCTCTCTCTTGTCAGCTTTAGGTCATAAGGTCTGTCATTAACTCAAGTGGCTGCCAAATAGTGGATGCCGAAAATCAGTTCGATTGCAATATTGCAACTACGTTTAATTTAATAAATTAATAGTTTTCTGACCACCATAATATATTGTCATTCTTTTATCCGATGATCTGTTTTGTTTGGACTCCCGTCTCACTTCCATTACATACAACTTAATATTATTCAATTGAATAGAAAGTTTTATTAAATTAATAGTTTTCTATGCCTGATCTATTGTCAATATTTTTATCTGATAATATGAATATTTTTAATTCTCGCTGCCACAGTAATATGAATATGTTTATCTGATTATCTGTTTAGTTGAGTTGTCCATGCTACTGTATATATTTTGTATAGTTCTTGCTGCCACTCTATACGAGTAATATGATTGAATGGAATGTGTTACAGGTGTTAAAGACTACCTGTATACGATCATATGGTTCTTATCAAAGTTTACATTCCTATCTATATTTATAGCTGAACTTTAGATCATGGACTAGCCTTTACATGTATTTAGTATTTAATGTTGTTCACACACCAGTATATATGTTTATAATAGGTTACAAGTCCTAGCTGACATTTTTAAAGTGGCAATACATTTAGATCTAGACAAGCCAGAATAATCGTACTAATTATGGAATATATGTTATTTTAAATTAGAAGTTAGGAAATAAGTTGGTCGGAGGGGGGGTGGGTGCTGGCAACACTTCCTTAAAACAGAAGCAATGCTTGACAGGCCGGGAGATCCATGTAGCTGCTGAATCATTTAATAAAGGTCTTTTAACCCAAAACGAGAGGGTCTTTGATAAATGTCTTTTAACCCGAAACGAGAGGGTGTTTGATAAAGGGTGTTTTAACTTGAAACGTCATGAAGATGAATAAACCACCACTCATATTTCTACATGAAGTCTGTCTTTGTCCGGCTGGTGTACAGGGATTTTTAAATATCTTTCAATTTAGAAATTATAACTGTTTAATCTCTGGTAGCTACTAGCAATATTCTAGAAAATACCAACCATTGTTTATACATGTATCTCTGGTAGTTACTAACAATATTCTAGAAAATACCAACCATTGTTTATATCTCTGGTAGTTACTAACAATATTCTAGAATATACCACCCATTGTTTATCACTGTTACCCGGGTATCATTTAATTTGTGTATTTAGCACTAATTTCCTTCACATTCGTTTAATATCCAATCTTTGTTTAAAATTTTTTAATAATCATTCAACACAAACTAGCTTATTTGGGGACTAAGTATCATTTCAATCTCTATGATTGACTTACCTATAAGCCTAGGGCTCTTTAGCAGTGGACTGAGAGAAGGCGAATGTTGAAGGTTCGATAGGCAATTTGAGGTTTGTCACATACTTAGGGATTCAAACCACAACACCTGACTCAAGGACAGACGCTCAAAGACTTGTAATGTAGGCCAACATAATAACATTGACTTGGCTAGAAGAGCCATTTGGGGAAGATTATTTTTTATAAACTTGCGTGGGAAGACTTAGTTGACTACAACAAGAATATATTTAAATCAATGCACGTAATAAGTTGAAAATCAATAATAGAAGAAAACCGTTTCGTAATTCACTTGTGACGTCAATGTGTACTAAAAAAAATAAATTGTCTGATACGGAAGTAACAAAATTGTCTGGAAAACTAAAACTTGAATATTTGGATAATAAATTTGGTTTGTTCTAGACAAAAAATAATCATTCCAATAAAAGCACTTTGGCTTGTTTAATATCGTGAAGTTTTACGCATAGATTGGGAAATGAAAATAAGATGTATTAAGGGTTTTTTTTACAGGCTTGCCAATGTGTACACAACACCTCAGGATTTTTTTCTCTCCCATCTGAACGACTATACGTTGTCCATTGCCAGTCCCTCTGTCCTGCAGAGAGAGAGAGAGGGAGAAATGGGGTTTAACATCCACTCGACACAGACTAGGTGATTATGGGACTAACATGGTTTAATTTTATTTCAATAATTTGCTTGCGCGTAGAGGTCTTTAGCAGTGGGAGGAATCCAGAGGATCCGAAGAAAACCCATGAGGTTGGACAGGCAACCCTATTCCTTGTCACGTACAACTGGGGATTCGAAACCACGCCAGTTGACCCAATGACAGGCCTTATGATATAGCGTGCACATGCTAACCATTCGCCCCCCCCCCCCCCCCCCCCCCCGTCCTGCAACACAGACAAGGCTGAACCATGCGTGAAAATCCTGATGAACTTTCTCGGCCAACGTAGGGATTGGACATGTGACATGTGACATGTGACCTCCAGGTTAGCGAGCCAACATCTTACTCGCTGAGCCATCGTGGCTCCCTGTTGACAGTCTTATAATAATAATAATGACTAGAACTGCCCGTTAACCTTTACTTCTCTAAAGCATTGTGGGTACATCTTTGATATGTTGCCAATTCGGTTGCGGGTTTCAATTCTATTATGGAATAAGATCAACTGCCATGTATACCCATTGAGCTCTGTTCTGATTCGCCTAACACAATAATCTACATGTATTCTTACAGACATGTAAACATCAATTATATTGGCGAGTCGTCCACATGGGACCTCTAATCCCATTCCAGAAAATATGAACCTGAATGTCAAAATCAACCTATAACATAATTGGAAGTCTTGAGCGTTTCCTTAAGTGTTCCATTTTTTTGTCTCAAGACTTCATTTGTCAGTCTGTGGGCTGCCATAGAAAATATTTCTGATTGTTTGGAAGGAAGTCTGGTGAGTTTATTTATAGAAACTAGTCAGCTGTGAGTTGGTTCTAGAATTCACAGCTTTATGGATGATTTACTCACAACCAGATGTGGCTGTGAGTATAATAATAAAATAAAATGGGGGTTTAATATCCTACACCTACCAGATTAACGAAGATAAACATACACCGTGCAGCTTGTGGTGAGGGATAATTAGGGAAGTCGAAGGTTATTTGAATATTCAAATTTGATTGCTTTTATTTTCATGATGACAAGACAGTGGGTGGGGGGATGGCTGAATGGTTAGCACGTGCACGCTGTATCATAAAGTCTGTCGTTTCGATTCCCCGGTTGTAAGTGACGAGGAGTAGGGTCGTCTGCCCAACCTCATGGGTTTTCTCCGGGTCTTCCGCTTTCCTCCCACTGCCAAAGACTCCTACTCGCAAGCGAATTATGGAAATAAAATTGAACCATATTTTAGTCCCAAAATGACCTAGTTTGTGTCGAGTGAACGTTAAACCCCAAGTGTACGATAATGCGTTTCAGTGCCATTTGTAACAAGGGACTCGAAGAACGAGGCTAGACATATTCCACAAGGCATGTCAAACGGTGACGCCATATTCTTATCTGGAGAACATGCACAGTAATGCTATCAGTGTAGACTGGAATAACCAGACACTAGAAATGGCCATTCGATTGAGACTTCTGGCGTATTTTACGAAACATAACTGATTTGAAATAAGAGTAAAAACGTAAACGATTAAATGTAAATCAGTTTATATACACTTACATTCATATTACATTATTATATATATGCATTGCGACCCATTTGTTTCAATTTCGAGGTCTCAAATATAAATAGAGCGATTTAGCTCCTTCAAGTGTATTTTGATTTTGGTGTGTATCATCAATTCTGATCTGGAGTTATTCCTCGTTAAGTATAATTTGGTCAAAGTTATTTATTATTTATATTGTTTATTATAGAGATGATCGTCAAGACCCAATTTATGATGAAGAAGAAGAAGATGAAGAGATTTTGGGTTCTGATGATGATGAACAAGAAGATCCACGAGATTATTGTAAAGGTTTGTCACTTTAAATAGATTATATACATGTATATACCATAGCAATTGTTATTTGATTGAATCCTGCATGCAGAATACTGTATGTAAAGGTTGCATTTTTGAAAAAAAAAAAAACCCAGTCAAAATGTGTCACAACGTTTAAGCCCCCTGTGCTCTCCCAGTCTCTGACTTTCAAGTGCTTGATTCAAGATCGGAAACTCGAATCTCAGGCGAGGAAAGGGTTTTGTCATGCAGCACAGTTGAAATTTACTCCCCAGAAATTTTAAAAATACAAAGATATTTAATTTTATATCATTGACAAATTGTCAGAAGTCAGTGTGTAAATGTGTTTGTTACTTAAAGTCCTGGCTGTATGGGCTCTTCATATAACTCCCTTATTTATCAAATCTCCCACCTTTTCCAAACTGAGAGAGCCTTTTTAGAGGAGTGATATTTGACGTTCGGAAATTACAGTGTATACACAAAACATTCTGCTTTTCATTTCCCCTGAAATATAAGCTCCTTGTCATGTAGAGGAGTAAATCATATTTTACTTATTTTATACATTATATTTATATATTACAGGGGGATATCATCCAGTGATTTATTTATATATTATATTTTACAGGGGGATATCATCCAGTAAAGATCGGTGATTTATTTCATCACAATAGATACCATGTTGTACGTAAATTAGGCTGGGGTCATTTCTCTACAGTCTGGCTCTGTTGGGATTTACAGTAAGTCTGTTTACATGTATCATTTTCTATTTAATCTGTGGGGGGGGTGGATGGCTGAATGGTTAGCGTGCGCGCGCTGTATCATAAAGTCTGTCATTGAGTCGACTGGCGTGGTTTCAAATCCCCGGTTGTACGTGACAAGGAGTAGGGTCGCCTGTCCAACCTCGTTGGTTTTATCCATGTCCTACGGTTTCCTCCCACTGCTAAAGACCCCTACGTGCAAGCGAATTATTGAAATAAAAGTAAACCATGTGTTAGTCCCGAAATAACCTAGTTTGTGTCGAGTGGACGTTAAACCCCATATCTCTCTCTCTCTCTATTTAATCTGTTTTCCACTGAAAATGTTTCAGCCTTAAAATTTGTTGTTTTTATACGCCTACGCCGACATTTTCATATGGACATATATTGTTGTCGCCCCTGTCCGTCCGTCCACAATTTGTTTGTAGACACTCCACAGGTCACAATTTTTATCCGATATTTATGAAACTTGAAATATAGGTCTATCTCCCATAGATCTCGGTTCCTTTCCATATTGGCATGTATCGGATCGTAACTTCATGGATTATGGCCCCTGAATCTACAAAAATCACTTCTTTTTTTTTTAGCTTGTTCTTTATCCATCTCTTGCAAAATGTGAGAGTATCTTGCCTAGTAACCACTTGTTTTATTTATTTTACTAGATTATAATTAATTTCAGTAATAACACTTTCTAATTTCATGTTTTAAATTCATAACAAAATGAAAATAATTCCATGTTAATTAAAAACAAACTTTAATTAAAAATCTTCCAGCATACATTTTGCTATTTGAATAAAATGAGCAAAATCAAAATTTTAATACTCAAAAATATGCAATTAATTCAACACGTCTGTAACTCCATTTTATTTTATGTTTTGATTGAATTTTTTCAGAGAAAAACGGTTTGTAGCATTAAAAGTGGTCAAGTCTGCTCAACATTATACCGAAACAGCTGTTGATGAAATTAAATTATTGAGATGTGTGAGTATATTATGTATATCCTTGGACCAGTCGGACCACTATAAATATAAACCTTCTGTTTTCCACCGGGTTTCGAATCCCAACTTGTAGGTGGGTTTTCTCGGGGTCGTTCAGTTTTCTCCCACTGCTAAAGACCCTTACACGCAAGTGAATTATTGACGTAAAATTGAACCATGTGTTAGCCACCAAATGATTTAGTTTGTTTTGAGTGGTTCACTACCAGTGTTCCCCAAGGATTTATCGACCGCGGTTCCCATTGTAAGTGGTGCAAGATGGAGGGGCCTGGCAAGGACAGTGTCTAGTCATTCAGATGGGACAAAAAAACTGATGTCCTGTGTTCAAATTGAAGTACCGTATTTTTCGGTGTATTAGGCGCATGCGTAGATAAGGCGCAGGGCGAGTTTGGCAGAGGTGTTTCAGGAAAAAATAAAAATGCATGGATTAGGCACACCCTTCTCCAGCGCCTTGTGAAACAGGTGCCATACCATAGTTACCATACGTGATTCAAATACACCTGCGATCTCCAGTAACTGGGCCAAACTTTACTGTTTACAGTTATAATAATTACCGATATTTAGCTGTATCAAGCTTTATATATATTTCTTTATGAAATTAAACTCTATATACATTTTTTGAATTGCATAAGACTTTATATTAATTACAACTTTCAATTGAATTGTTTCATAACTTAAGTGGTAATTCTGGCACTTGTACGGTAGTCATATTGTCGTTAGAGTCCCGCCCACAACACAAATGGCTGTCTATTACATCCTGTTAAATTCACGAGCAATTGGCTGTGATAAATGAATAGGTATTGATGATAAACAAATGAAATAAAAACTGTAAAAATAATTTATCATGATCAGTTACTCACGGCTTAAATCCTGACTACCGGTAAAAAGAGAAACAATAATTCTAGTTTATTTTATACTATCCAAACAACTGACAATCAAACGATTGTGTCAATTGTCTCGCCCACTACACGCAGCATGACAATACCTAGATTGAGGCCATTTATATCTATCAGTATCATAAGACAATAGCATTTTTAATACCAATCAAAGAAACAATGATTTTGTGAACAACAAACAACTTCATAAAGCATACGATGACAACTCACCGGTAGATAATTAACGATACCGGTAAATTATAACAATAGGTTAATCAGTGAATCTTCGTTGCATGAAAACTATCGGTAACTTGAAACGGCTAAATATATAAGTTACAGCAATGTATAGTAAATAAATTTATTCAGAATGACTACGAGACTGACAAACACTATACTGTACACGGGATAGCCTATTCATTTTACATCATCTACTTTCGAACTATTATAGCAAGAATGGCTAGTTCTTTATCTAAATCTTACATAATTTATCTTTAAGTGCTAGAATGATTCCTATGATTGTATAGTAGTAATTTGACAATCTAATATAGAAATAATTATGTTTTCACTTTCTTAGAAAATATTCAATTATCCCTTTAAATTATCACTTCTATGTAGAGAGATGGTGTAGAGGTTTTAGTATAGAAGGTTACAGTTCTTGGACGACTGTATGACATTTAAATACTGTTAAAACATGTTATCTACATTCAGTTTATGTCAATATAAACAGTCCTACTAACCTCATCTACTCTATTCATATACTAGACTAGCTCTACAAGACATCTAGTCATACTAACCTCATGTACACTATTCACTAGCTCTACAACATTCTGCACACAGAGAACAATCTACTTCATACTTCGAGAATAGATCTCTGTCCTAAATGGCTGCCATATCCAAATATTAGTATACTGTTTTGTAATGCGGTCCTACTCCAATTCACCTCTGGTATAAAGCTTACACAAACAGACTAATTAAACCTTCTCAATTTTACTAAAAGAAAGCAGACTAAATACTTCTCAAAATTCTTGAAATATTCTAAGTGTTTTCAACTAAAATCGTTGATTTAGGACTTAAAATGTCGGTCAACTAGCTTAGTGTCTGTTCTCAAGCGGAGCTAACTGTAGACAGACAGTGTTAGTTTAGTATGGCTCCACAACTTTAGTATGGCTCAACAAGACGTCTTGTAATAGCCATGCAAACATCAAGCTGTACAAAAGTAATAAGACTTGTAGGATTAATTTCCCTTTGGGGATGAATTCAGAGGGAGAGAGAGATCCACTCAACACAAGCAAGGTCATTTTGGGAATAACTTATTGTTCAATTTTATTACATGTACAAAATACAATAGATCGCTTGCCCGTAGGAGTCTTTAGCAGTGGGAGGAAACCGGAGAACCTGGAAAAACCCATGAATATGACAGACGACCCTACTCCTTGTCATATGTCTAAAGGGGAATCGTATCCCCGTCAGTTGACTCAATGACAGATCTTAGGATACAGCGTGCCCATGCTAACTATTCAGTCATCCAACCCCCCAATAAGCTTATATAAAATGTGAAATGACATTGGGGTATAAACGGGGCGGGTTGGATGGCCGAATGGTTAGCACGCGCGCGCTGTATCATACGGTCTGTCATTGAGTCAACTGGGGGGGTTTCAATTCCCCGATTGTACGTGACATGGAGTAGGGTCGCCTGTCCAACCTCGTGGCTTTTCTCCGGGCCCTCCGGTTTCCTCCCACTGCTAAAGACCACTACGCGCATGCGAATTATTGAAATAAAATTGAAGCATGTGTTAGTCCCAAAATGACCTAGTTTGTTCGAGTGGACGTTAAACCCCATTTCTCTCTCTCTCTCTGGGGTATAAACAAGGAATCGAAACCACACCACTTGACTCAATGACAGACCTTATGATCTAAAGCCCACATGTTAAACGATTCTGTCACCTAACCCCGACCCCTTTCACTGGATACAGTTTAATTGAATGAATTATATGTATTATATAATTATAGACAATAAATGAATTACTAAATAATACCTGTTTTTATAGGTGAGAGAAACGGATGAAGATGATGCTTATCGTGAGAAAACTGTTCAATTATTGGACGATTTTAAAATATCTGGTGTGAATGGAACCCGTATCCTTTTTTTCCCTGGTCCACATGTCAAGTGAAATGACACGATAGAAGTGTTTATAGAATTCAAGTCTATTTTAAGGTTGAGATATCAACACAAGTTGATAGTGTGAAGATCCATGGCTCAACCACAATCGTTTTTAAATAAAAACAAATTACTATAACAGTGATTGATTAACGTAATATTTCCAGAAGGAAATTCCACAGGTCATCTGTAGGGGGGGGGGGTTGGTTGGTACAAGTGCATTCTGTACACAGAGATCCAGCTACTTCATACTTCGAGAATAGATCTGAATGACCGCCATATCTAAAACATAGTATATTGCTGTGTAATGCTGTTCTACTCCGTTTCACATCTGTCATACACACAAAGACTAAATAAACTTTTTCAAGTTTATTATGATCTAAGTGGTGAAACAATGGGTAAGACCCTGGCTGGCTAGCCTGGAGTTCGCGTTTTTGATCCCTGCATTGGCAGAAAAAGTTCATCAGGATTTTCCGACGTGGGTTCCCCTTGTCAGTAGTGCAGGACGGAGGGACTGGCAAGGACAGCTGTCTAGTCGTTCGGTTGGGACAAAAATCGAGGTCCCGTGTTTACATTGGCATGCCCGTAAAAGATCCCTTGGCAGTTGGAATTCTGTATAAGAGTAGGCCATAGTGCCGCTGCCCGGGCAAAATTTCCCTCATAGCACACTGTATGGTGTATGCCCGTCTTCATTAGCCCAGTCGGCGCAGAGCAGTAGGACGTTAAACCCCATTTCATTTCATTTCCAAGTGGTGAATGGTTGAGAAGAAAATTCCACTGATTGTCTGTAAGATTGAGAATATTTTATTTGAAGCTTTAACCAAATTGTTTAGATATTTGTATGGTGTTTGAAGTATTGGGTAATAATTTATTAAAGCTGATTATTCGATCTAATTATCAAGGTATACCCGTTGAAAATGTTAAATGTATTATAAAACAGGTAAATAGATTATTTTACTTACATTTTGTCCTATATAGAATGTGACTCAGTGGGTTAAGGTGCTCGTTCTCTAACCTGGGGTTCTGGTGTTAAATAAGGGACAGTAGCAAAAATTTCAAGACTTGCGTCTAAATGAATAACTGATATATAGATCTCGACTGACCTGCTCATCAGCGTCAACATTGTAAGCAAATGTGAGGGGAGCCACAGTGGCTCAATCAGTGAGATGTTGGCTCGCTAACCTGGAGTCCCGTGTTCGATCCCTGAATTGGCTGAGAAAGTCCATTTGGATTTTCCGGCGTGCTTCCTCTTTGTCAGTGGGGCAGGACAGAGGGCCTGGCATAGGACAACGTATAGTCGTTCAGATTGGACGAAATTGAGGTCCCTTGTACACATTGGCGTGCATGTGAAAGGACTCCCGACAGTTAGAATCCAGGCAAAATTTCCCTCATAGCACACTGTATGGCGTAGGCCCGCCTTCATTAGCCCTGTCGGAGCAGAACAGTAGGACGTTAAACCTCATTTCATTTCATTGTAAGTAAATAATGACATGATTCTATTCATGATTCAACGCATGATTTATTATTCACGCTGTTGTTCTACCCACTCACCCAGTTCTACATGTTGGACGCAAGTGTTGAAATTTTGCAGGGTGGTCCCAAAAGTTGATTCTCTGATCATGAAGTTAATCGATGTTCGATTCAGGTGTTGACCGACATATGTTGGAAATTGATAAAGACTAGGTGGAAATGTTGCTGCCCCGGGCAAAATACTCCTCATCATAGCACACTGCATGGCGTTTGCATTAGACCCGTTTGTACAGAAAAGACCAACTTTAAAACCCATCGATATTTTTGTGGAGGTTAACGATATATTATGAATTGTGTTTTCAGGTGTTACAAGGTCTTCACTACCTGCACGTCAAATGTAAGATAATTCATACAGATATAAAACCAGAAAATATATTAATGTGTGTCGATGAAGCCCATGTTAAACGCTTAGCAGCAGAAGCCTTCGAATCTCAAAAAACAGGAGCTAAATTATCTGGATCTGCCGGTAAGTACAGTTACTTCCCCCTGATTAGAAAATATTTTTCCTGTTCGACCGAAATGGCACCCAGTGTATGTCAGAAACAATCTGAAAATACCCAGACTCAGATCTGGCCTCCCAGTTCACAAAGCATTCTTAGACTTAAGATAAGATTTTACTCAAAATTGTTCACCTTTTTTTTAACTAAAATATAGCCCCTTATAAAACTTTGTCGTTTTAATGTATCAAATACATCAATAAGAAACTATGTGCAAAGTTTTGTGTTTCTGCATCAAAGGTATTTCTCATAAACAGTGATTGAAAGTTGAGTAAATTCTTAACTTAAAGTAGCTAAGTCTCTAACTCGATATCATCCAAAACCTTCAGCGCAATTTGTAACAAGCTACTCGGAAGAACGAGGTTAGTCATGTCAAACGGTGACCCCATATTCTTATCTGGAGAGCATGCGCAATAAATACTATCGTTCTAGACTGGAATAAACAGACGCTAGAGATTGACATTCGATTGAGACTTCTGGCGTATTTCGCCAGACATAACTGATTTGAAATTAGAGTAAAAACGGAAACGATTGAATGTAAATTAGTTTATTTACATTCATATTACATTATTATATACCTTGCTACCCATTTGTGTCAATTTGTAGGTCCCAAATATTAGCGATTTAGCTCCTTTAAGTCTGAGAATACATTGGCCTTCTGACTATATTATCCAAAACCCTCAATTTATTTTAGCATATTTTGTTTTAATATCAAGTTGTTCCAAATTATTTAGTTAATTTTATTTTAAATTTATTTCTTTTGAAATACCTAATACCCTGTGCCAGGGTTGGAAAAAAGAACTTTTAACAAATTTATAGCCTAGATAAATAAATTATTAAATAGTGATCTTGATAGTTAATTATGGGCTTGTCATGTTAAAGTAGCTAAGTCTCTAACTCAATATCATCCAAAATCTTCGACATTGAAAACACAATTTTTTTTGCAATTTAAATCAGCATTGGTATTGTGATCTTACCTGGAAAAGATGGGCTTCTGATCTATCTATATATATATTTGTGACTGTCGTTTGTCTGTCTGTCTGTCTATCTGTCTTGTCTGTTCGGGGTTGGCGGCTACACTAGGTCTGCCCCGAGTCTGAAATTTGGGGTATAGGGGTAGCTCGGACCGGGGAGTAACATAGGCCAGGTGGCGTTAGTCTTCCGGTTTCGGAGTTATGACCCCCGAGCGAAGTCTGTCTGTTCGTGGTTGGCGGCTACACTAGGTCTGCCCTGAGTCTGAAATTCGGGGTATAGGGGTAGCTCGGATCGGGGAGTAACATAGGCCAGGTGGCGTTAGTCTACCACTTCCGGTTTCGGAATTATGACCCCCGAGCGAAGTCTGTCTGTTCGGGTTGGCGGCTACACTAGGTCTGCCCCGAGTCTGAAATTTGGGGTATAGGGGTAGCTCGGACCGGGGAGTAACATAGGCCAGGTGGCGTTAGTCTACCACTTCCGGTTTCGGAGTTATGACCCCCATGAGCGAAGCCGGTCTGTTCGGGGTTGTCGGCTACACTAGGTCTGCCCCGAGTCTGAAATTTGGGGTATGGGGTAGCTCGGACCGGGGAGTAACATAGGCCAGATGGCGTTAGTCTACCACTTCCGGGTTTCGGAGTTATGACCCCCGAGCGAAGCCGGGTATCCTGCTAGTATCCAATATTTAAGACAAAATAAACATTTTACCATTGGTACACGAATCGTGTACCATAATGCGTTTCAGCGCCATTTGTAACAAGGTGCTCAAAGAATGAGGCTAGACATATTCCACAAGTCCTGTCAAACGGTGATATCATATTCTTATTTGGAGAGCATGCGCAATAAATAATATCTGTTTTGACTGGAATAACCAGACGCTAGAAATTGACTTGCTGTTCAGACTTCTGGCGTATTTCGCCAAACACAACTGATGACGATTCACAGTAAGACGGAAACGATGGAATGTAAAACAGTTTATATAAATTCATATTACATTATTATATGTGTAGCGACCCATTTGTGCCAATTTCTAGGTCCTAAATATTAGCGATTTAGCTCCTTTAATATATAATGTCTAAATGAATATTTAAGATTTGAAGTCAGAAAAATGACCTGCAATAGGCAGATTTAGCACTTGCTAATGTATCTTTACTTACATAATGTACCTTTACTTACATTTATAATGTATCTATCTTACATAATGTATCTTTACTTACATTATGTATCTTTACTTACATAATGTATCTTTACTTACATTATGTATCTTTACTTACATCAATGTATCTTTACTTACATCAATGTATCTTTACTTACATTATGTATCTTTACTTACATTATGTATCTCTTCTTAAATTCTGGATCTTTACTTACATAAAATTTATGATAAATGTATCTTTACTGGCATAATGTATCTTTACTTAAATTTATAATGTGTCTATCTTACATAATGTATCTTTATTTACATAATGTATCTGTATTAAAGAGTTGAATATTATTATACGGTATATTTGTACTCAGATTGTTTTTAATTGTAGTGAGTACTGCTCCTAAAGAAAAACCCGTTGATCCCTCCAAAATGTCTAAAAATAAACGGAAAAAGATAAAACGCAAGATGAAGAAACAGTTAAAGTTAATAGAAATAAATGAACAACAAATGGAAGAAGTTACAAAACAAAAAGAAGTAAGTATGACACCGAATAATTTAAATATGTATTTCTCTTGTAATATGGAATTTGGTAGCTGAATAATCTAATGTCTGTACTTTAGATAATAATTGGTGTTATTGGGTGGTTGTGCGTATGGGATGAAAAACTGGGCTCCGTAAAAGATCCCTTGGTAGTTGGAATTTGAAATAAGGGTAGGATGTAGTGCCGTTGTCTGAATGTCGTATGCCTGTCTTCATCAAGTTCCTGGACTGGTCTGTGATTCTCGAACTTCGAGCTACGTTATTTCCATTACCGCAGTCGCATGAACATTGGTGTCTAATCAGAGGTTGTGACACTCAAATCAAACTTCCCTTTTACCGACCTCCACGGAAACCTTGACATTGATTGATAGAATCTTGAACTTTGCAACTCAATTAAAACCGGTAGACATTTTAGCTGGAAAGCGCGAGACTTGGTATTTGCGATGATCGAGGAATCTGATAGGGCCCCAGCTGGTTCGGAAACCAATTGAAATTAGTGCCGAAATATTACGTGAAGGCCTTGATAAGATGTACGGAGTTAAAGCGAGATCAAGCCTTCTATTGATGATGGTCCTCATTAGCCCGGTCAGTGCAGAATAGTAGGATGTTAAACCCCATTTCATTTCATTTCATTTTTATTTCAGAAACTACCGAGTTCTGATAGCATTAATAGTCTTGGACAATCCAGTCAAGATATGCCCGAGAGTAGCAGTAGTAATAGTCTTCAACATACCAGCCCAACTTTCTCACATAGTGATAGTACTGCCAGTCTAAGTAACGGGTGCGGGACCATAGAAAATATTGGACGTCTTGAAGAAGACGAACAAGCCCATATAAACGAAAATCCAGTTGTTATGACAACCGATAACAAAAACAGTGAAGAGAGTAAAACAGAACAAACTAATAACAATGCTTTAGGTAGGTATTGATTAAAGTCTTTCACTTTGTGGGGGGTTGGATGCCCAAATGGTTAGCGCACGTGCACTGTATCATAAGGTCTTTCATTGAGTCAGCTGGCTGGCATGACAAGGACCAACCTTGTTGGTTTTCTCCGGGTCCTCCGTTTTCCTTCCACTGTTAAAGACCCCTATGCGCAAGCAAATTATTGAAATAAAGTAGAATCATATGTTGCTCCCGAAATGACCTAGTTTGTGTTGAGTGAATGTGAATCTCTCTCTCTCTCTCTGGTATTCTTCAAATGTAGCACTATTCTTTTGGCCCGATCACCTCAGGGTTGGTTGCCTCTGGGCAGGCTACTGTTTTATCTCTTTTTTTAAGGACTTCACCATTGTGTTTTCTCACGATACCGACTCAAATATGTAACAGGAACAACGATAGTTTTTTTTAGCCATATGTTTTTATGCCACAACAGTTAGTTGAGTTTCACAATAGTCTACATTACATTATTTAAGATTAACATCTCTTTCTCTCAACCCCACTCCTATAAAAGTCTAACCAGCATGACTAGACTCAGGAAACCACTACATCGTGAAATGGTCGTCTAAAGAATTCAATGCATGTCTGACTATTCTACCCCTCACTCTCTCTTTTATAGGTGCCTATTCTTTTGTCTGTGGTGTTTACGTAACAGCTATATTCCAAATATGGAATGGACATACACCCCACCCTGAATATCGACAGGGATTGTTACCTAATATTGTCAACAAATATGATATATGTTTTATAACAAAGAAAAATGGAAATGACCAACATGTTCATTAATATATAGCCCAGTTAGCGTATGAAAATAACCAGCATATACTTTCTATATTTTGGTTAAGAAGTTAGAATCAGTAATTTGTAAAGATAACAAGATTATTTCAGCCATCATATTTCTCCATTCCTTGTCTTTGAATTTGAAAACAATGTCGCAACAACAATATTGTTAAACAAATTGTTATCTTTACAGAAGGGGGGTTGGCTGGCTTAGTGGTTGTACGTGGCAAGGAGTAGGGTCGCCTGTCCAACCTCGTGGGTTTTCTCCGGGTCCTCCGGTTTCCTCCCACTGCTAAAGACCCCTACGCGCAAGCAAATTATGGAAATAAATTGAACCATATGTTAGTCCCGAAATGACCTAGTTTGTGTCGTGTGGACTTAAACCCCATTTCTCTCTATCTTTACAGAAACTGTCTCACCCACGCCAGAGGAAGACACTAAAGATGAGAAAACGGAAACCATGACAACCGTTGAAGATAACAACCTCAATAATCAGATTATACAACAAGAGGTGACGGTCACAAACAGTCTGAGCGAAACATCGGCCATCGCAAAACTTAACGTAACCGATGACGATGAAGAAGAGAAACCAGTGTGTAACGGACATGATAGCGGAGTTATTTCACCCATCATGGAGGAAGAAGAGGTTTTGGATAATGGAGAAATGGATCACTCGCCGTCGGATGTGAATGTCGCGAAATCGGAAGACAACAATGATGAAGATGGAGAGTTTGTCTCGGCCAGTACTAGTAATGAGGATCAAGGTTTGTAATTAAAGATACATCATATAAGATTTAGATAAAAAAGCTGGACATTTCTAATCCTGGTTAATGGATCAGAAGATCAGGGTCGTCTGTCCAACCTCGTGGGTTTTCTCCGGGTCCTCCGGTTTCCTCTCACTGCTAAAGACCCCTACGCCCAAGCGAGTTATATAAATGAAATTGAACCATGTTAGTCCTGAAATGACCTAGTTTGTGTCCGGCTGACGTTTTATAGTAAAAACAGAGGTGTTTCAATTATTTTCTACATCGTTTGTGATTAAATTATAAAGACTATCCGGTTGGTTAAAGACCTGAACTTTGGATTCTTTTCATCTCTGACAGATAGGTTAATTATCCAGGTATTCGATCGGATAATAACTTTTGTAGTTTAGTCTAATATGTAATTTATTAGGTTTAACGAGGTGTTAACAATATATTTATAGGTAATTTATCTAGTAAAAGTTCTCTAGATGCTGTACATGTGTAATTTATCAGGTATAACAAGGTGTTAACGATATATTTCTAGGTAATTTATCTAGTAAAAGTTCTCTAGATGCTGTACATGATGTGTTTGAAATACCTGTTAAAATAGCTGATCTTGGTAATGCTTGCTGGACGGTAAGTATATATATACCTTTACCCCCTGCCAACAGTCATTTCACAATGATAAAAAATTCAGATGAAGAAACCCTTAGATTTAAATTCATTACAATCGATATGTCGACTGTATTTTGGCTGTTTGCATATATGTCAATACATCCCGAGTTAGTAATAATATTTAATTATCAATTAAAATCGTGAATGTTATGATTTTGTTTGTGAAATCCCCCCTTTGCGTTTTTGGATTGCCTCGTGAATTTGTGTTCATTTGAGTTGATGACTGTATCACTGTAACATGGAAAATCTATTCAAAATCACATGAAGCCAGTCTGATTAAAACACAGATCCTATTTCGTTTTGTTTTTCTTAGTTCAAAATTTTGTTTTATTTGTCTACTACACTAGGAATTGAAAGAGTAGTTATATAACCTGCATTCTGATTGATGTGAGATATTAGCCAATGAAACGGTCTGTTACAGCGAGTTTTTGGCGTGCGGCGCACTGAACTGTGGGTATCCCACTAAAAACATCAACGCTGATTAGTTAATCAAAAGTCTGATGTCATAGGGTCAATAGCCGCTTGTATGACCCCTGACACGACCTTCCACTACATCTTCATGTAGTAGAGGCCATCAAAAGTATAAAATAAAAAAAAAAGAAATATACTTTAATCAGATTGGATTTTAATCAACTTTATAAAATTCAGTGGTTTCGAATCCCCGGTTGTACGTGGCAAGGAGTAGGGTCGCCTGTCCAACCTCGTGGGTTTTCTCCAGGTCCTCGTACTGCTAAAGACCCCTACACGCAAGCGAATTATGTAAATAAAATTAAACCATATGTTAGTCCTGAAATGACCTAGTTTGTGTCGAGTGGACGTTAAACCCCATTTCTCTATCTCTCTTATAAAATTCAGGGTTCAATAACGCGTCTATCAGTAGATATGATATACATAGGTGAGAAACATCCTGGCAACGAAAGGTGGGATCAAAGTACACTAATGCTCAGCCAACGATCGAAAACGTCTCATTTGTTTTTATTTATTTGTTGTCTAAGGCCTCTTGTACCTTTGAGACTTGAGGGAATGAGATCGGCTCCTTATTCAGTAAAGACACCAGAGGGACGAGATCACCACGGAGATGACAAATGTTACTAACGAATGCAAGACTGACATTGTGAACTATCACATATTATTTTATTTTATTTATAGCATCATCATTTTACGGAGGATATACAGACTCGACAGTATCGATGTTTGGAAGTTTTGATTGGTGCTGGTTATGGCCCACCTGCAGATATTTGGTCAACTGCTTGTATGGTAAATAATTAAATCATGATATGATTGAATTCCAACTGCCAATGTGTACATGTGACCTCGGTTTTTCTTCCCATCCTGCACCACTGACCAGGGGAAATCCCGATAAACTTTCTCGGGCAACACCTGTAGCGAACACGTGACCTCCAGGCTCGCAAGCAACTTGATGTGTTGAATTCTATCTATTTGTTAGTGTTTAATTACGAAATCGATGTGTAGAAGCTGGTCAAGAGGCTGATTGTGTGTGATAAAGTATTAAGAAATGACTGTTGGTATCTAGAAGGATCATTCCTGTTTCTGGCATGAAAAGTTCCCCATTTGGTAGTTCGAGTCATGGAAATTTATTAAAATAAACACAACAGTTCTATGGATAACAATTACTGTATTTCTATTAAAGCAACGTTTCAACAATGATTCTCTTGTCGTTAGCAAGCACAATACTGATACAGACAGAAGGAACGAAATATATATACTATGTATAATCCAGATTTATCAAATTCGGAAAGAACCTTAGAAGAAAGTATTGTATCAACGTCGTTATTCAATTGTTTGGGTTTTTTTTATATTTTTCAGGCTTTCGAGTTAGTGACAGGTGATTACTTATTTGAGCCTCATTCTGGTGAAGGTTATAGTCGTGATGAGGATCATCTAGCGCATATCGTGGAACTTCTCGGTCCGATTCCACGACATATAGCTCATGCTGGCAAATATTCCAGAGAATATTTTGATAAACGAGGTAGGTTGAGTTGGGGTTAATTTCTTTTAAGGCAGGACACTACCTAAGAATTTTACATTGATAACAGAAACTTGCCATTTAGTGTAATATTAGTATATGATGTCCCAAATCAGATTTGATAATTTGAGCGCAAAATGTATATTTGTTGCCATGGAAATGGTGGCCATATTGGATATTTTTATATATTCACGGTGGCTATGTTAGGAAATCAAAATCTTCAACAATTTTATTGAAACAAACTATTTGTGATTTGGAATAACATATATAGGCATTAAAGAGTGCAATAAGGCATAAATTTTACTATTTGAATGTTAATAAAGAACATTTTGCATCCCACATAAAACAAATGGGTGTGGCCGAACACACCACTAAAAAGATTTTGTACAATAAAATGTCCAAATGTATAACAAACACTTTGAAAATCACCTTATTGCAAACAGTAGCTATAGCACTAATTCGTATTCCAAAGATGAGACCATTATCTCTCATAGATTTTGAGAATTTGATTTTCTAAGACCTGATATGGGTGAAAAATTGAGTACGGAAAAAAGCAAGTTAAAAGTTAAAAATTTGATTTACCTATATACAAGACTAAATATTTAACACTATATAATATAAAGGCTGGACACGACTTGAAAAATCAACAAATTTTAACTATTTTGGGCAATTTTAGCCAATATCAAAATTTGACAGATCAATCTATACAGAGTCTTTTATAAGGTAGTGTCCTGCCTTAAAATACTGACACTGTAATCCAGGTATCGTTTAATCTTGTGTATCTAGCACTAATTTCTTTCACATTCATTTAATATCCAATCTTTGTTTAAAAATTCATAAAAACTGTTTAAAATCACCATAAATTGTTTAATTTGTACGTCTGTCCAGTTTAAAGCTGACCATTCAATTTTGATAATGAGTGTCCAATTTACAAGTGTTTAATTTCTCAATCATTGTTAAAAAATAAACAACCCAATTGATTAATGATTAATTTTTGAACAGTGATCAGGAAATTAAATGAAGATCTGACCAGTTCTAGTGGAAGGTCGCGTCAGGGGTCGCAACAGTTGCGTTCGATCCTATTTCGTCTGGCATTGATTAATCAATCAGCGTTGACGTTTCTAGTGGTTTACCTAAAGTTCCGTGCATCGCACGCCAAGAACTCGCCGTAACAGACCGTTTTATTGGCTAATCCCTCACTTCAACCAGAACTCGCATTATATAAAAACTCTTCCAGATCCTAGTGTTGTGAAGAAAAGTAAAACGAAAATTTGAACTATAAAAAACGAAATTAGACCTTCTGGTTTGAATTTAGCAAAATGTTACCATAGTGGCTAATATAGACAATCAAATGTCAGTGAACCCTATTTACTTAGCCCTTGGGGGTGGTGGTCTAACATGGTTGCTTTGAATCACAAACTTGTACATGGCAAAAATTAGGATCGTCTGTTTTACCTTGTAGGTTTTCTCTGGGTTATCTGGTTTTCTCACACTGCTAAACACCCCTACGCCGAAGCGAGTTATTTAGATAAAATTTAGATAAAGTTTCTAGTGGTTTACCTACAGTTCCGTGCATCGCACGCCAAGAACTCGCCGTAACAGACCGTTTTATTGGCTAATCCCTCACTTCAACCAGAACTCGCATTATATAGAAACTCTTCCAGATCCTAGTGTTGTGAAGAAAAATAAAACGAAAATTTGAACTATAAAAAACGAAATTAGACCTTCTGGTTTGAATTTAGCAAAATGTTACCATAGTGGCTAATATAGACAATCAAATGTCAGTGAACCCTATTTACTTAGCCCTTGGGGGTGGTGGTCTAACATGGTTGCTTTGAATCACAAACTTGTACATGGCAAAAATTAGGATCGTCTGTTTTACCTTGTAGGTTTTCTCTGGGTTATCTGGTTTTCTCACACTGCTAAACACCCCTACGCCGAAGCGAGTTATTTAGATAAAATTGAACCATATGTTAGTCCCCGAAATGACCTAGTTTGTGTTGAGTGGATGTTACATACCATTTCTCTCTCTAGGTTTCCAGGTTGGTTCAGGACATTTCCGCAATTATGGAAACTCCTACAATGAATGAGCTCTAGTACTCGATGTATTTTCCATATTATCCTACATGGCATCGGCAGTACATGACAGCATTTCAGCATTAGACCCATTTCATTCTCTTAGAGATACATTATACACTGTATAACAGCTAAATCTGGGATTAAATGAAATGAGGTTTATCGTCCAACTGTTCTGCTCCTAAACTGGGCTAATAAAGACGGGCATACGCCATGCAGTGTGCTATGAGGGAAATTTTGCCCGGGCAGCGCAGCTACGGCCTACTCTTATATCGAATTCCAACTGCCAAGGGATCTTTTACGTGCACTCCAATGTGTACACGGGACCTCGGTTTTCCGTACCATCCGAACGACTAGACAGCTGTCCTTGTCAGGCCCTCCGTCCTGCATCACTGACAAGAGGAACTTTCTCGGCCAATGCAGGGATCGAACAACCAACCTCCAGGCTAGCGAGCCAGCGTCTTACCCACTTAGCTACCGTGATCCCCATCTGCAGATTACAGGTCTTTTTTTCTAGCTTCAAATGTTATATAAGTTATTATTTAGACATTTATTCACACGACAAACCCATAATCAACTCCCTAGATGATCAGGTGGCTGCGATGTTAATTGGATTAAAACGCATGCGCCATTTAATCGGCTGATTATCGTAACATTGACAAGCATTTATCATAACTTGGTTCCAAATAAAGTATTTTGACTGAAATTTTCAATATTTCATTTTCTGTTATCTTTGAAGTATAAATGCTTTTAAAACAAATTGGTTATATTTTGGTTTGTATTTTTACAGGAGAACTACGTCATATCACCAAATTAAAGCCGTGGAGCTTATACGAAGTCTTGATGGAGAAATACGAATGGGATTCTGAAGACGCAGAGGCATTTTCCGATTTCTTGATCCCGATGTTAGAGTTTGATCCAAATCGTCGTGCAACAGCTGAAGAATCTTTAAAGCACCCGTGGCTCTATTCGTGACCTTGATGATGTAACGTTGCCGCAACGTTACTTGTGTCACGGAAGTTCAATCTTTTGTGTGATGATTATAATTTTTAAAAAGTTTAAGAGAAAAAAAAAAAAAAAAAAATGATGGAACGTTGTTTGAGACGAATTCGGATTTAAAAAAACTGGAATTCACTTAATACATACAGGCTGTTGTTCATGTTCAAGTTGAAACTTAGCTTGTGAAATAAACAGAGTTATACTATCACAATATTACCGCCTATCTTGTTCCTTCTATCCATGTCTCGTGTATATTTATGTAGGTCAACATGGAGGATGTTACTATGGCAACTAGTGTAGCATTATTTACCCATAATTCACCAAATAAAGATGTCCGTGTCAAGCCATTATTATCATGTGTATGTTACTACAAGGTGTCATGTGATTATTTATCAAAAAAGGATATATTTTATAAAATTATTAACCGTATGTATGATGTGATAGCTGGTGTCTCGTATCCTGGCAGTAGAATTTTACAACAGTATTTACATAACCTTTAACCTCTGTCTCTATCACGCTGTTAGACATTTTCCGACTATCTTTACTGAGATTTTAATATTTTCCGTAACCCTTGCCAACAGTCATATCATAATGATAATAGATTCAGATGAAAAACAAAACCCTTAGATTGAAATTCATTATAATCAATATGTCGACTGTATGTTGGCTGTACAACTCGAGTTAGTAAGCAGTAGCGAGTATAGATCTGCGTCCAGTATGATTCGTGGATACTGTCATTTCATCTTCCTGCCCCTAAAACCAGCAACAATTTTAATCTTTAAAATATTTGCAGACTAGTAAAATATTTACAGTGATATTTTTCCATTAGGACTAAGACTAGTAATAGTCTCTCCATTGACCACAATGTAAATCAAAGACAAGGGAGATAATAAACAGCCCTGTATGGAGTCAGACTACTAATTCTCTCTCCATGCCGTTTCTTTACCAGTAACATTTTTTCTTTGAGCATTCCAATGATCGTAATCTTTATAACCACAAACGTTTTATAAAATTATCTTTTAGAGGGGTGGGGTTGTGGGGGATGGCCGAATAGTATCATAAGGTCTGTTATTGAGTCAACTGGTGTGATTTCGACTCACCGGTTTTACGTGACAAGGAGTAGGGTCGCCTGTCCAACCTCATGTCTTTTCTCCGGGTCCTCTGGTTTCCTACCACTGCTAAAGACTCCTACGCGCGAGCGAATTATTGAAATAAAATTGAACCATATGTTAGTCCCGAAATGACCTAGTTTGTGTGAGGTGGACGTTAAACTCCATTTCTCTCTCTCTACTAAAAGTAATAATATTGTCATTAAGGGGAGCCTGGTTTCATTAGCTCAGTCAATGCAGAAAAGTAGGACGTTAAACTCCATTTCATTTTCATCTCATTAAAGGCTCAATACCACTCTTGTTGTAACTGAATAATATGTCCCAATCTTTATTCTGGTCAACAAATTGTACTATTTTACAATATTCCAATTAATTGATGATACAAATTTCATCTTAACACACCTACTTTAAAAAATTGGAAAAATTCAACTAAATGATTTGAAAAGCCTGACTTTAAGCTTTTCAAATGTGACTTGGATTTTAAAAAATTTTCGAACCCTCTGTACAAGTAAAATAGGATGTAATGGATAATTTACACAACAGGTAGGACACTTAAACATCTAATACTTAGAATAAGGCTATTATTTATTTTCTGGAGCTGTCAAGCCAGCAAGAGTGTTATTGTCCCTTTAAGGGGAGGGGGGGATAGGGAGAGAATAATAAGAAAGAATTGCTCCATATAAAAAAACTACATTGGGTTATTTTGCAAAATTGTTAAGCATTGTATATGCTGTAATTTGAGTAGTGGGTACTAAATTCTAGTTAATAAATAGTTCCGAGGACCCAGAGCTCCCCAGTCGACCCCTGTTGGCCAGTCTTGTTTGATTTTTTTATTTGTCAATAGAGTATTTAAAGGGTGATATATTTTCATAGATTAAAGTAAATATAATAAAAGTACTTCTACTTTTATAGTAGATAAATAAATTAAAAATACATGTATGTCCAGTTTTAAAAAATCATCCACTTTTACTTCTTTATTCTGATTTACATCAAATGATAAACCAATCTGGTTAAAACACAGATCCTATTTCGTTTCGTTTTTTTATAGTTCAAAATTTCGTTTTATTTGTATGTACTACACTAGGATCTGGTCAGATTTTCATGTAGTTTAGGCCATGGAGAGTATTAAAAAACCCGAAATGAAATATAGATCTGTGTTTTAATCAGATTGATGGATGGCTAGCTGTCTGACCTCTATAGGCTTCTCCAGGTGTTGATGCATTTAAATAATTGTACATACTATACAGTGATACATATGGTTTGAGTATAAGATAATCCCAGTAATATGGAATACCAAAGTTTCTATTTGTAGTGCTATACTAGATTGTAGGGTGAACTAGTGCTAATGCGTCAGTCCGTTCGTTCGTTCACTCGTTCGTCTATTGGTGAATTATTGTTATAGTTCTATATAACGTGACTACAGTAACTGTAAAATAATAAAACATTTCTAATGGTATCTTGTCATAGTTTTTATTTCTTAGTTATACAGGGTTTGGGTGGTCTTAACGCACGTGCTTTAGATTATAAGCTCTGTCATTGAGTCAGGTTTTGTGGTTTTGATTCCCCTCTTGTACGTGAGGAGGGGTAGGGTCCCCTTTCCAACCTTCTTTCCTCCCACTGCTAAAGACGAAATGAAATGGGGGTTTAACGTCCTACTGGTCTTGTCCTACTGTTATACTCCGACTGGGCTAATGAAGACGGGCATACGCCATACCGTGTGCTATGAGGGAAATTTGCCCCGGCAGCGGCACTATGGCCAACTCTTATATCGGATTCTAACTGCCAAGGGATCTTTTACATGCATGCCAATATATACATACGGGAGATCGGTTTTTCGTCCCATCCAAACGACTAAACAGACCGTCCTTTGTGCACCACTAACAAGGAGAAATTACTTCGAAAAATCCCGATGAACTTTCTCGACCAATGCAGGGATCGAACACCCGACCTCCAGGCTAGTGAGCCAGCGTCTTACCCACTTAGCCACTGTGGCTCACAAGAGTTGTGTGGTTTTTATTCCACACTTGCACGTGACAAGGGGCAGGGTGCCCTTCCAAACCACGTTTCCTCCCCCCCCCCCCCATTATTGTAAAAGTTGAATCTCTGAAAGGAATATCAGTTTAAAAATGGTTAAATTCCGTTCAATATTTACAATCTGAAAAATTAAAAAAAATTCAACATTCGACATCTCGTCAGATGATTAGAAGGCGTGCATAGCTTCCAAAGTACTTGCTTATTCCCTAGTCGTTGAGGGGGGTTGGATGGCCGAATGGTTAGCACGTGCACGCTGTATCATAAGGTCTGTCATTGAGTCAACTGGCGTGGTTTCGAATCCCCAGTTGTACATGACAAGGAGTAGGGTCGCCTGTCCATCCTCGTGGGTTTTCTCCGGGTCCTCCGGTTTCCTCTCACTGCTAAAGACCCCTATGTGCAAGCGAATTATTGAAATACAATTAAACCATATGTTAGTCCCGAAATGACCTAGTCTGTGTCGAGTGGATGTTAAACCCCATTTCTCTCTCTCTCTCTCCCCTAGTCGTTGGAAATAGCGAATTTGAGAAAGCCAGAAACTAATTTAGAGAACGATGTGATCGAGGGTAATTTTAGAATCTTTGAAAATGACGGATTGATATATGGAAATATTGAAGAGTGCTTGTGGGTTAAAATCTATAGAAAAACATAGAGAAAAAAAATCAGGTTTGCTCTCCTCCACCGCCTCCTCTAAACTCTCTCTGGATATTAATTTTCGTGCCATTTGGAATTACAGAAGCCCCCATTATATTCCAATTAGCTGTGGATGTTTGCGTAAGGGACATAGTCAATTTCAAATAACTAATCCATGCTTCGAATTGTAACAAATAACATACTAATGTGTCGGTAATATCCGAAGGAATAAAACTGAATAACCGTTGGGATACGATTTAGAAGTTTTCCTAGAATTCGTGCCGTCGCGAATCGCTACTGGGAACGGCCATTTATATTCTGATTTCATTTGCTTTGTTATGATTGCATGGAGAGTTTTGCCGGGATAACGGCGGCATTCGTGCCTACTGTCATTTGAACCAGTTGCCAAGGGTTTTAATTCCTACACGCCAATATGTACACCAGTGGACCTCGGTTTTATCACACCACCCGAAATACTAGACACATTTCTTTGTCCACCTTGTCGACGCCAAACAGTGAGAGCCAGAATTGAAAAAACCCGAAGGGTCTTCTCGGACTCCCCGTGATCAGTAGCAATATGGTTTCCACGGAAAGACAAACAACACATTGAAAGAACAAGTGGCGTTTGTTAACGGTCCGTTAAATTTTTGTTAGTATTTTCCTATAGAAGTTTCAGCATAAATCTGTAGGAAGAATTATAGGATTTACACTACAGAAACTGTAGAATAACCTACAGGCCCTCAAAATTTCGTCCTATGGAAATGGAATAGCCCCCCCCCCTCCCCCAACCCTCTAGAATGTTCTATAGAATTCTGTAGAAAACTAGGTGTACACCAGAGGATTACGAAAGTCTTCTAATATCTCTGTAAAAGATGACGACCTTCAACACGTGACGTCTCATCACGCGGCGTCAATCATTGGCTCAATGGCGCGTGCATTGTTTACATACGACCTTACTGGGTCGGGCAGAATGGAGCCTTTTACACATTTTAATACCCATTTACACTAAATAGGAAATAATTTTTACTTACTAATACTTCAAACGTCTTTATTTATTTTCTAATACACAAAAAAAAATGTTTAGGATTTAAAGTGCACATAAGATGGGTTTTGGAACTTTTGGATATGTGTAGCCAATGGTTACTATATCAACTTTACGGCAAGTTCACACCAATCTGATTGAAATTAATTCGGTCATCTTCACTCAAAGTCGTAAAAATGGACCTCCCGTGAAAACGACTTTGCCAATTATCGAAAACACTCTTAATCCCCTCAGACGCCAGTTATCACTTTTAATTATGTATATTTTTGATTCCCCCCCCCCAGTTATTAACTTTCAATAACATATATTCTCTGAACTTTAACACCTTGAATCGTGATTACTATGTTAACTTAGTATATTATTATTAGCCTATATTAGATCCTTCAAACCCTTGGATCAGTTTTATTGTGTTATCTTAGTGCTATTATGCTATGTTTTCATAACATTTTGTGAATGTGGTTTTAATTGCAAGACCGTGTGTTTATAAGCTCTATCTGTTATATACTGTTTGTTTAATGTATGGTTTCCCCCTAATCATTTTTCTTTTTCAATATCAGGGTGGTTTTAAGGTTCATGTACAACTATATCCTTGTCATCACACGGTGCTTTTCAGATCTTAGATGTTAAATATGTCTGTTAATTGGTTGAACTCTTCTAATGATTAGTAATAAGAATGGTTTCGCATTGTACATATATATATACCCTCAAGTTTACTAAATGTCATTGTGCTTGATAACGATAAGAGAATACTTATCGAAACGTCGTGCTTGTGTATAATAAACCAGTGATTGTTGTCCCATATAACTGTATAGTTTTGTTTTGGGATTAAGAATGTTGATTAGGTAATTATCTTTTTTTTTACGACGGCCATAATACCTCATGAACGAACTAATGGTAGAATCGTACACCCACACATTAATTGTATAAAATCATTAAGTTTTACTCATCAGTTGTTTATAATTATTATTTACCTAATAATTATTGCTCACCAGTGTTTTTGTAATCAAGTAGCCTCGTATTATTTGTTGATTGGCGTTTAAACAACAATCGTTTATCTTCTTTTTAATAAAAGTATTTTACAATTGCATTGACAGTTTAATCACTCACCAAACGGCACCAGGAACTCCACGTATGATCCCGTGCAATTTTCGTGCCGAAGTTTAACCCCATTTACTACACCCGTAGTACATGTAACCGTAAATGGTAATAAGATTCCCAGCGTTGATTGGCTGAGAAATGAGGGCGATCTATTGTACATGTTATGCATAATCATCGGAAAATTCCATATTCACTGTAAATTTCAAATGGAGTTACGATAAAAGCTGTTCTTTATGTATAGAAATGGTTATTATTATTATATATAGCTAATAATGAATATATCGACAAATGACTGGCGCCATTATATCAAGTATTACGGGGTTATCCAAATTACCGGTAAATGCGCTAATTTCTTGAGTCGTCTTCATTTGACATGTGGCCTATTTAAACGGCATTTGAAATTCACTCTAAAATATTCCAATCACAAATGAAAGACGATAATTCGGTGATTATGATTAGGCCAGTCACGTGGTAATTGGAACGTCAACAGACGCTTGTCAACTTATCTATATTGTATAGATAATGTATATTGTATGTGTAGTGCCTGTGACGTCACCAGCCAATCAACCGGATTAAGGTCGTAATTGAAAAATCGAAAAGCGTTTTGGCGTGTCGGACACTTAAACGTTAACCGCCGATTTAATTTTAATCAGATTGGTGAGAAGTTGCCGTAAAGTTGATATAGTAACCATGGGCTATACATACATGTAATTTAGATTTTTGATCTTACGTGGTCTTTAATTTGTCGGAGGAAAAAAGTTAATATTTGTGGTTCATTAAGTCGCATCGATGTCATCGTTATCAGTGATTGTCGCGGCCTAGCGAATATTCACTGCTGATCAGTGTAGGTGTACCCGGGTAATCTATATCTATGACTTTTCCTAAAGGTAACTCCATGTTAACGAGTCGTTTATAAGTTAGCGAAGCTTTGAACAACAGGCCCAAGGTTATTATTTAATTTATTTATGGATATCATAAACAATAATGATGACTCACTGATTCTAATGGATGTTTTTCTTGTTGGGATATTTTTCTGTTTTTGATGAGAATTATAACACCGCGGTCAAGGTTATGGGGGAAAAAAGGCATAATTTAATATTTTAATAAAAACATCTATTTGTAAACTGTTATTAAAGGTCAATTATTTGATTATTTATAGCTTTTATTATTATTGTAATTACATCCAGTGATTGTAATCTGCTTTATTTAAATTGTTATTAAACCATTCGTTCCGCCCTAGACTCGGAATATTCATCAGTAATTATGAATAATTAATTCTAGAAAAACAAGATCAGTAAGAGATAAATAAGTCGCTTCGAGTAATAAAAATACACCTGTATTGAGAACTGACTATTAAGAAGATTATAAATAAATTGTTTCTGCATCCATTAAATAGATTGATTTTATCTACATGTAATCTGAATAATTGATAACGTATGGATAATGAAACGAGTATTGATAGTTTAATCATCGTTATTATATCTCCGGTTTCGAAATAGGGTTGAATGCCCATTTGACACAAACTAGGTCATTTCGGGACTAACATATGGTTCAGTTTATTTTATTTCAATAATGTGCTTGCGCGCAGGGGTCTTTAGCTGTGGGTGGTAACCGGGGAACCAGAGAAAACCCACGAGGCTGGACAGGCAATA